ATAAATCCCACAATTAACACGTTTTAATTATTCACATTTAAAATCCATAAATTTCACCAATTAATACTAGCTGTTTTTCTATCATTTAGATCTGTCAATCTCTCTCTCATTTAACACGTTTTAAAAATTAATCACGTTTTAAATTTGCTTCATGATAAACACGCTTTAATGCTATCCGTTTACATTCATTTCGATCCTTAATTTCTGCCTATTAATTTTGCTAGCCGTTTAACAAATTTTGAAAATATTACTCACATTTTTTTTAATGCAAAAAGAAAAGTTCAAAAGAAAATTAAAATGTAGCAGATTAAAGGCCCATTAATCCGGAGCTGCATTCGTGTGCGCGCGCCACCCGACCCGACCCCGAGCCCGGCCCGGCCGGCGCACGCGTGTGTGGTGTGGAGCATAACATTTATTTTCTTCTAGGCATAGGAGAGAAAGAGAAAGCTTATAAAGACCCTTCATTCCTATTCCATTTCCTATGTGAGACTAAACTTTCCCACTACAATATCAAGTTTTAAGTTATCTTTATTATAACTCCAACAATTTATTGATCATTAAACTTTTTAGTTTTCTACATTGATATGAAGATTAACATTCTTTGATGCATATTCTCCTTGTAACCATTTGTTTGTAGTCAATCTCGCTTAATTCAAATCCTTTATTTAATAAATATTTAACATGTGGTAGGGATCCTATCATTAAACTTCTTTCTATAGGTATTCTAATAGAACCGTACTCCTTAACCCTTATAACCATAACATATAAAGTAAGGGCCTCTTTGGATTGATTTTTTAGATAGGTAAATGAGGGGAAAGCTGCCAAAAAGCTGACGCTTTTTTGCAGCTTTACTCCAAAATCACCTCTATAAAATGTAATTTTAGGGGAAAACTGCCAAAAAGCTGACATTATTGGCAGCTTTCCACCCTTTTACCTATCTAAAAAATCAATCCAAACAGCCCCTAAGGTAAATCTACAAAGTGATTTTCTTCATATTTTTCTCAAAAAAGTTATTATAATCTTTCATTATGTTCTCAAACAGCAAAATATCATAAGAAAACATACGAGAATTCTTCTGTGCTCTGCCAGAAATTTATAAAGAAGAAAAAAAATTATAAGAAAACAAATAAGAATTCTTCTCTACTCTGACATAAGAAATTGTTAGAAATAGAAAAATTGATACAAAATTTAACGGGTGGAGACGCGGGGTGTCGAACCCCGTACTCCGCTCGCATGCAAAACGAGCGCTCTACCATTTGAGCTACATCCCCTATTTTAATTTAATAATTCAATTAAATTATTTTTAAACATCATTGTTGCAGTCCAATTTCCTTCCCTTTGTTCACAAGGTGTTGTTTTTCTAATCCTCATATTCCAAACCTGCTATTAGGGCAAGTGCAGCAGCCTTTCAAGAAGGCTCCTAAAGGTGATGTGGCAAGAAAAAGCTCTCAACATGCTCCAACAAGCTCTCAAGGAGACTCCTAAGTCTTAGTTGGCGGCGGGGTCCACCATTGAGCTCCTAAGAGCTCCACAAATTTGTGAAGCACTTGGGAGCTCCTAAGAGGTGGGGCCCACTAAAAATATTTTTTTATTAGATTTATTGTTTTAAAATATATTTATAAAATGTTAGAGGTAGAAGAATGGATTTTTTAAATAATATTTAAGCTCTTAATTGGGAGTTTGTTGGAATATTTCTCCTAGTAGGAAGCTCCTAAGTGGGCCCCATGCTTGAGAGCACTCCAACAAGAGCTCCCTACTAGGAGATTGCTGTACTTGCTCTTACTATTTCTGATTTTGATTACAGTTAATACTTCTTTAGTCCTCATTTCCTTTTTAAAATTTACTGCTTTTTATTTTTTTGTAGTAAAAAAAATCGGCTGAAGCGGTCGACACTGCTATAGTGAGTAATCTGTTCATTGTTGGCGTTTTTGTGTCTGTAGGTTCTGAATGCAGGGCCGGCTCTGTGGTGAGTCAAGCCGGGTGCGCCGCCACAAGGCCCCCGAAATTGTGGGGCGAGGGCCCCAATTTTTTTAAGTTTATATATCTTAATATATATATAATATATTTATATATATATATTATTAATATATATATTATATTATATATTATAATAATATAGGAGGAAGAAGAGAGAGAGAGACGAGAGCAATCATGGATCGTCCATTTCACAACCCTTAATCTCAACGCGTCAATCAAAACCCTCCTTCAAAAGAAACCAATCTTCACAAATCAGCATGAATTCAGATCTAGCCGCCGCCCCCTCACTCTCTGCGCTCTCTCCTCAGACCGTCAGCGTCCATCAGGACTGTCGGAGCTCCGAGCTCGCCGTCGCCGGCCTCACACCCACCCGCTGGCCGCTCAGACTTCGTGAATCAACAGTCGCCGCCGGTAAGCTCGAATTCGAGCTCTCTGCGATACCGCGCGCCTCAGCTGGCCGCTCAGACTTCGGGAATCACCGTCGCCGCCTCGCTGGCCGCTTCAACTTCGGGAAATCACCGTCGCCGGCCCGTCCGCTAAGCTCGAATCGTAGCTCCGAGCTCGCCGTCAGCTGCCCCGCCGCCGCTGTCGAGCTCGCTGTTGCGTCACTGCCCCCGCTGGCTGCTGTCGAACTCGGAATCAAAATCACAGATTAAGATGTAAGATTTGGGTCTCTTTTTTGGGGATTACTTGGGGTTTTTGTTGTTTGATTTTTGTTGTTCATTTGATGCCTTTTGTTCAGTTTTTGTCGCACAGGGCCCCTAAAATCTCAGAACCGGCCCTGACTGAATGTCGTCTGAAACCCTTACAATTTAATCGTTCGTTTTCTAATGCTTATTTATCATGTATACTGCTCCTAAGTACTGATTAAAAAGTTTGACAGTCTCCTCACATAGGCTGTGTTTGGTTTGACGGAAAGGGAGAGAAAGGAAAGTAATGTGGGAGAGAAAATGCATTTCTAGTGTTTGTTTTGAAAGAAAATAAAAAGGAAAAAGAAAATAAACTTTCCTGTTGAAAAATCGCTATATCTATTTTCTTTCCCCTTTTCTCTCGGCTGCCCTAGTGAAAACGAAGGAGAGCGACGGAAACGTTCGGCCGACGCTGACCCCGATCTCTCCTCGTCGCCTCCAGAGATCCTTGTCTCCTTGCTCGTCACCTTATCGTTCTCTCCTCTCTCTCTCTCCCTCCCTCCCTCTCTCTCTCTCTCTCTCTCTCTCTCTCTCTCTCCGCCTCATCGTTCATCGCCGATCGCGTAACATGGAGTAAGATCCGAAGGTGAGCTTCGATTCGAGCTTGTAATTTATCCTCTTTTTAGTTTTTCTCATTACTAAACTCAAGGATATGGGTTCAGTCACCCAATTTGATCAGAAGCTTGCCCTTGCCAAACGCTGTTCTCATGGTAATTAACTAAATGGTAATTAACTAACTAAATTTCCTAATATTACCATCTTACGTACAATTCCTTAAGCTAATTAGTACATATTTTGGGATTCGGATCCTTTCCACTACAAAAAAAATAGTGGAGGGACCACTACATAATCACAGCCATTGATTATCTAGTTGATGGTTATGATTTTTTCTTTTAGTGCAAATTAGGAATGAGTGCAATACACGGGGGTATGGTAAGTGTTAGATTTAGATTGTATCATAACCGCCTACTAAATAATCAACGCTTGAGATTAAAAGTAGTGGTCTCTCCACTACTTTTTTGTAGTGGAGAGGATTCAAATCCCATAATTTGATCTTATGTTGAGCAGGAGTAGTTGCTGGTGCCAAGGCTGCAGTTGTTGCAAGTGTTGCAGCTGCTATTCCTACTGTAATTACCTAGCTCTTAATTACTCTCTTAGCGATGAGTCGTTTGATGTTATTTTTAATTTATTTATGGTAACACAGTACGATTCATTGTCTGAATTGATGTTTTCGTTTGGTTTACTCGCAATTAGGTTGTTTTTGGTGATATCTTTGATCTTCTCGGAACCGCTCCAGATTTAACTGCAGGTTTCGTTTGGATCTCTCTATCAACATGAATCCAAATTCATCCGAGGTAAATTCTGGTCATATTTTTTTTGTTGGTTTTGAAGTTTAATTTGTTGGTAATTTCTTTGCTCATATTTTTGTTCATACTGTTGATGCATGAAAATACATTCCATTAATTGTTTAGTTTAATATTTTCATGATTGTTGGTTATGAAACTACCCATCTGTTTGATTGCCAACCCTTCTAATGAGGAGGATCATACCCATCTGTTCTTCCCCTGTACTTACTCTGCTAACTGAGTTGTTTGTTTGAATTTTGTCTAATAACTGAGTTGTTTGTTTTTTATAATTTCTCAACAATCAGATACATATGTGCTTGAAATTTTTGATATTACATAGTTTTCAACAGAAATTTGTCATAATTTGCTAACTTAACAAGCAACATTATATTTGTGATACTTTTTTATGTGCATGTAGTTGTTATTACATAGTTTTCAACAGAAATGATGTGACATTTTATTTTTATTTCTACTACGCTATAGGCAATCAGGTGTATCCATCTTTTAGCAGATAATTGAACATAAAAGCATGTCTACAGACCATTTGAGGATTCATCATATACAGGAACTACGAAATACAGAGCCGACTCCATGCACATTAAAGGGAAATATCATGTAGATATTTTAATAGCAAATTCCTGGGATTTAAAAGCATAGCATGTAACAAAACCAAAACAGATACAAGATATGTAAATTGGCCAATTGCCATATCTGGTAGCATGCGCACGAGATAAACAAACTTATATAAAACTGGATGAACTTCCAAAAATATCTCTATGCATATAGCAAGACTTGTAAATTGGCAATAGCAGGAACATGAGATTTAATCTCACTGTACTAAAGCATATGAAAGAAATGTGATTGCATATCTGAACTTTTCCACGTAGACGTATATAATTAATCAATTAATTATATTGTGCAATATGGATAAAAGTGAACACAGAACTAAAACAGGAAAAAAGAATATCTGTACTTTCTGAGAAAGACGAAATTTGAAATTAAGATTGAACATACAGAGGACTATAGTAATACATTAAGTTGTGATTCAGTCTCACGAACAGTTTAACACAGATGATGCCAGCTTTTCTTTTTGTAATAATCTATATGGAATTTTAAATTCCTATTCTGCAGTATATGTATCATCCTTGTACTTGTATACAAAACCATGTCAACGTCTTTCTGCATCTTCCTTAAAAAAAAATGCATACAGACTATATCTATACAGCTGCATTTAAGAAAGTATGTGGTACATGTTTATTCCAGCATCCTAAACTGATGGGTGTATAACCTAAAAAAATGAAATTTTCTTGCCTGTTTAATCATTGTTTCAGTTCTTTGATTTTCTGCTGAGTCATCTCCCCTCTTGAGAAATCAAAAACTTCTTCACTAAGAAGCTGAAAGTATAATACGTGTATCAGAATAAGGTAATATCTACTGCAAACTGGAAGTGAACTTCCCAAAAATCATTTGTGATAATTTGTGATAATTTTTTATGTGCATGTAGTTGTATTTTAGATGCCATACTTTACTTCTGGTGGATAGGCAAACAAATTCTTATTTCTGAATTTTGAATCTTATATTTAATTCCATCCAATATTTCACGAATTCTCATTGCCTAAATTTGCTGATTGAGTATCATGGAATTCAAACCTTCAACTGGCCTCATTATCCAGTAATATTAAGTGGGTTTGCAGATGGTACATGAAACCTTAACAGCGCTTAATCAATTATCTAGACAAGTACAGACTACAAGCTTTAGGCTTCAAATTAGGAACATTAAATTTTATTTGGTTTTTATTTTTTCAATTGTGGTACTTTTTTAAATTTTTTAAAAAGGCCAGATTCAACTATAGCACAGTTTACGACAAGTCAACAACATGTGTACAATAACTAACATGAAGAATCTCATTAAAACATATAATAGCTTACACTAGAACTTATGTAAATTAATTGCACCAGCAACCTTACAAGGAAGCTTAAGATGATTGACTCCCTCTCATGATGATATATTTCTAAATCAATATAAAGTATAAATGATTTATCTCAACAAAGAAATAGAAAATACCATGACTTTTTTTATTTCTCATTAGCAAATAATGCCCACTGTGGTGTGGTAAACTGATAATCAATTAAACAACCTGGACCCTTAAGTTTGTACAATTGCTACAAATACAGTTCATAGGGAAAAATAAGTCCTCATGAAAAGAGGGGAAAAAGACTCATTAACAAATAATGAACATCCAAAGCAAGGTATCAAGCAGATTGGATTCATGCAGAATTCCAAATGTTCATAGAAAGTTAGTTTTCAGTTTCTGGAATGTACCATGACTCAGGCACTCATTACAATGCAAGTACTTTATTGATAAGTTCTATTTTCAGGACTATGCTGCGCATTTTGAGGGGTGTCACAAAACCAGTTCAGATAGGGCATCACTGCATATCTGTTTAATTTTTTTTTCAAGTTTCTACTGTTTTAAAATTTTGAATTTTAGTTTTTGACATAATGCATGGTCCAGATTGTCTAGGTTATGGATTAGTGTTTGATGCCACTAACTAGTCTATCAACATTAAGAATCAAGAATTTGATACTGAACTGAGAGAATTCTAAAGCTTAGTGATAAAAAAAAGATCTGGACTCATAATCGCCTACTTAACAATTTGATTACCCATACTCTATTAATTTAGTTAGATTAACAACATGGACATATCAGCTATAAACGGTTAGTCGAAGGTAAATATGTTCTTAGTAAAAGATAAATGGTTAGTCGAAGGTTTCAGTTTAATATTTTCATGATTGCTGGTTATGATTGTGACGTGCTTACTGAAAGTGTTTGAATTTGTAGACAAAAGAAGATGATGAATGGGCTATACAAAGAAAAAAGATAAAATATTCAGCAGGGATTGTGGCTGCATATGCAGCATATGCAAGTGCTATTATGGCAACTAATATCTACCAAGTGGAGTATATAGATAGATCAATCTTAGCTCAAAAAGATGAACATAGGAACTTACTTATGGAGCGACTTACTCAACAAAGTGATAAAGATTGTCGTGAACAACTACGCATGGGAGTTAATGCTTTTGCTAGACTGTGTCAGTTGCTTAGGGAGACGGGACGTCTTTATGATAATAGACGCAGTTCTGTAGAGGAACAAGTTGCTAAGTTCCTTTAAATTCTTTCTCATAACTGGAAGAATCGAACAGTGAAGTTCTATTTTATGCGTTCGGGTGAGACTGTTAGCCGCCACTTTCACAAGGTATTAGAGGCATTACTATCGCTTGAGGATCAATTTATTAAACAACCAGATGACTTCGAAGTTCCACTAGAAATTCAGACAAATCATAGATTCTGGCCCTATTTCAAAGTAAAATATAAAATTTTTGTAATAAATATTACATCATGATAATAATAGTCAAGTTGCTAATCACTTTGTTAATCTATTATAGAATTGTTTTGGCGCAATTGATGGATCTCATTTTCGAGTGAAAGTGGCAAAAGAAGATACAAGAAGGTATCGAGGCCAAAAAGAATTTCCAACTCAAAATGTGCTTGCCGCTTGCACCTTTGACTTAAAATTCACATATGTTCTAGCTGGTTGGGAAGGGTCTGCTTCAGATTCGCGGGTGTTGAACAATGCATTAATACGACAAGACAATATTTGTTCCTCAAGGTGATAACTCTTAGGTCCAATCATTTTCAAGATCAGATAAGATCTTGTTTACATAAACACATTTTAACTGTTAAATTTTGTTCAATTTTAGGAAAATATTATTTAGTTGATGGTGGTTTTATGCTGAGGCCGGGATTCCTTACACCATTTAGGAGTACGCGTTATCACCTCAAGGAATATTCCTTACACCATTTAGGAAAATATTATTTCGTTTGAAGCTCTTCATATTGATGGATGACCAACTTGTTCAATTATGTTGCAAGTTTGTATCCTTATTGCATATTTATATTCTACTTATTTGAATTAATTGCAGGGGATGAAGGATGTGAGATTGATGTCTTGATGGGCTCACTAAAGTCAAAAACCAAGGACTTTGGCATAATTTTCTCTCTTTGGTTAAGATTCTCTATATGAAATTGATTGTAATAAACTTTGTTGGTTAAGATCTTCTATATGAAATTGATTGTAATAGACTTTGTCGGTTAAGATTTTCTATATGAAATTGATTGTAATAGAATTTGTGACTAGAAATGGATTCTAGTTTATATTAGGGATATCATGACATTTACTTTAGATTTGTTTTGGTTCTTTCATTGACATTTCTTTCTGCAAATATTATGTGTGAGAAATGTTATTTTTTAATTAGTGGAATTGTGGTTGTGCTTCTGCTTGTTAATATTATGTGTGAGAATTGTTCTTTAATTAGTGGAATTGTGGTTGTGCTTTTGCTTCTTAATTATTTAAAATCTAAATCTAATTCCAAAAAGTATGAATTAATTTATATTGTGATAATTTTCTTCCTTTTTTACTTAGAAAAGTAACCAAACAAGAGAAAATGGTTTTCTGATGAATTTTCTTCTAACTTTCCTTATAATATTCTTTCTAACCAAACAATAAAAGGATTATCATCAAACAATAAAAGGATTATCATTTTCTTTTCTTTTTCTTTTCCTTTCTTTTTGCTTTCTCTTTCTTTTTCTTTTCTCTCCCTTTCCATCAAACCAAACACAGCCATGGAGTTTTACTACTAATTACTCATTATGTATTTGGGCTTCCTCCTTTCGTATTATACACCGGAGTTAGATCCACTGCATCATAAAAATTAGTGAAAATGCTACTATCTTTAATCACAATTATTAATTATTTAGCGCGTAATTGTGATTCACTATTAATCTAACATACTCACGATCTTACCTCATATGAATTTCCTAATTTGCATTTAGAGAAAAATCATATCATCCATTAAAGAGATGATCCATTAAAGAGATGACATACTGGTCTCTCCACTGCTTGTTTAGCAGTAGAGAAGATCTGAATCCATATTATATCCCACTTCTCTCGATAAATAATTAGATTACTTACTTATTTGAAACATGAGACAATTTTATTCGGATTAAAGGATATTTGGCAATGACAATCTCTCCATTCCATGATTGGATAGTGCATTCATAAACTGTGGCTGGTTAGGCTGATGGTTTAGAGTCTTAACATAAATTCTACTCTAACCATGTACATTAGTTGGCTAATAATTTGTGATATCGATGAGGAGGTCCATGTGTACATTCTTCATAAATAAATAAATAAATAATAGGAGAATTTCATGCAAAATCACACATTGCTGCGAACTGTAGCTTCATTTTGCCAATTTTATACATATTTATCAGTGTATAACACTTAATATTTGCTTATGTGGACTATCTTGCTTTGTTATTTAGACCTATGCCGTTCATGACCGACTGTAATTTCTGTACCGATACTTTTCGTTAGTCTGAGTCCGTTTCCATATCTATTCTTTCAACTTTTGTGGGCGAAGTATCTGTTGAAATTGTTGGGAAGTAGTTCTGTATTTCACGAAATACTAGTTAGACTTAAATTGCAGAATTGCAGATTAAATTCGATTGAAAAAAATAACTACAATGGGAGTTAACTTTTAATTTGGAACAGAATTAAAATTAACAATCCAAGTCAAAGAATAAGTCCTACATAAATTCAAGGGAGGGGAAAAAACACTGACTATTCTTGGAAAAGTTCATTGTAATTCAGGTCATAGGAAAGTCAAGAAGAGTTGCATACTGTAAGAGAGAAGTAGAGAGAACTAATGAGAGAAATTTAGGATTTGTGAGAGATCTTTTAGTGAAATTGAGAGAATGTTTCTTGTGTAATTTTCAGAGATCAAAAATAAATTGTATTTTGTAAATCTGTAGAAGAAAATAAGACTCAAACTCTCTCCCCGTGAATGTAGGAGATTGTCGAACTATGTAAATCTTTGTGTCTTTTGACTCTTGATCTATTTTCCACTGTATAATGCTTTCTCTTTTGTTCAAACTTGAAATTTCTCGAAGTGAGTTTCCTACCTCGCTGGACGATTGATTAGTCTATGAGAAGCAGGAGCTCTAGTTAAGAGTTTCGGTGACACTTATGCATGCAACAATTCCACAATGAACGCCGATTGATGGCCACGATCAGTGTCCGGTTATAGGTGGCGTGCGCCAACAAAAATCTGCATTCATATAACACATAGGTAACCCTTATATGATCTGTTATTTTCTAGGAATTTTATGACCGAAAATGGTTGCTAGCAGCAAGCGTTCGCACACTATGAAAAAAAGGGAAGAAAAAAAAGGGAAAGAAAGAAAGAAAGAAGGAAAGAAGAGGAGATCCGGTGATATGGAGAGGTCTGGATGACAATATGCTACCTCTGCACATACATAAACTTAGCATATTGCTGTCCTCATGAGAACTGACGCGAAGTTATAGAATTGATAACAATTATGTGGCCCCATTGAAATGAAGTTGTAAGAACCTGGGAAGCCGCATTACCTTTGAATTTACATATGAAATCATTCAGCGAAAAATTTCCGTGTATGTTTCTCTACGTGACATTTCTTGTTCAATTCAACTTTTGATCCATATCAAGTTTATATATTTAAATGAAACAGACAGTGTTTGAAGCTTGCATAAGGTAATTGTTATATCCTGCAAATTATCCTGCCTAATAAGAGTGGCCAAGTATTGATTCACTAGCCGACTCCCCAAGCATCTATAATATATGACTGACTCGAGATTCAAATCCGAGTCGGATCCGGTCAAGATTCCCGACTCCTAAACAAAAATTGTCCTCCACTTGGACTCGACGCAGTCTCTAACACTCATTCGGTCTGACAAACATTACTCAAAAGTCATCATCGACATTTAATGTGGTATCAATCATAATGATTGTGCACAACAGAGCTTCCAAAACTCCTCTTACGTGTCATATATCCCATAGTCTTTTCACCGTGCAAAGTCGGCTTGACCAACCAATCTCCGACACATGTAAAATAGGACTGAAATGGTACTACAATGCTCTCGGCCAAAATCACCAACGTGCCCCCCATAATCCCTCTACAAATATAGATGATTTTTACTACACAAAGGTAACACAATTTCACACAAAAAAAGTCAACAAGACCATACTTTGTTTTTTTTCTCTTCAAATTAACTACAAAAAGCAACTGACTTAAGCGGAGTAGGGCATGCCAGAGGAAACAACCTCCGCTGCCTCTAACTTCTATTACAAGTTCACAGGTTATGATCCATAGCAAAAAGATCAACCATCAAGGGAGATCAATGGACCCAAAAACAGAGTTCAACACTCCCAAATCACACATTAATTTTTCGATGTAAACAACAATGGTTGCAAAATTGGGATAATGGATATTTTTTATGTTGGACGAGTTTATGTGTTTTTATTAGATTCTATAGATATAAGAATGCAAATGTAGAAGTACATGTAATTAGCATTGACGATCAGTGTTATAATGTTAAAATATTATCCTAAAAACCTTCTGATGGTATTCTTGGTAAATAAAGGAGGGATGATATTGAAGCACCTTCAAAATAAACCGAGTCGAATTTAAACATACAAAGTGTCAAAATTTACCCTAAAGACATTCTGACTTGGTAGCAAACTTTTGATGGTCCCGGACCATATGCTAACTAGCAAAACTGATGCCCAAAATAAAGAAGGTAGGTATGTACAATGAAACCTAATGAATTAGTCTCTTCTTTCTCTACCTTTTTCTTCACGCAATTCACTTTTCCAACAAACTAAATGAATCATTGAAGGACAGGCACAAGAAATCTAAGGTGATCCAGCTTAAGATCGTGCTACTATCTGAACCCTTGTTAAGAAGAACTGATTGGTCTGAAGCAGATTGTATTCACTGAAACTGTAGTTCCTGAAAGCCTAAGATATGTCTTAACGCTAGAACCTCAATTCAAAGCAAAAGAAAAAGGGGAAAACTAATGCAACGGCGAAGATCTAAACTATAATTTTCTCTGGATCGTCAAAATTAAAATATTTGGGTAGATTCAATGGTTCACTGAATTTTATACCATATTCAAAATCGTCAAATTAAAACACACAAGGAGGGATAATATAGAAGCATCTTCAAAATAAACTGAGTCGAATTAAAACATAGAAAGCATCAAAATTTACCCTAAAAACATTCTCTTTGATTGAAGACATCAATTAGTCAAATCTAAGATCAATACGATTCATTTCCTAATCCAAACAAGACTTTGATTTATTACTAAAAAAACAACCCAAAAGCTGATTACTTTCAGAATTCTATCAAAAATGTGTATTCTTGATGGGATTTTGAGAATTTGCCAATCTAAATGGCTCCATCACGTCGAAATAGGCAATTTCTATATACTATATATTTTGACTCTGCTTTCCGGATTGAAAGGCACCTTTACTCTTCAAGGTTACGTCAACAATTTTGAACTTGGCCTTGGATTAACTTGGTCTCGAAGTAATTAAATTTGGTCTTTTTCTCTTGATTCCTTGTTAGAGACTAGATTGATTCTTGTACAGTTTGACTTTTGGGCTTCAATTATCATCTTTTTGACTCTTCTTTATTTAAAACCTATTTTCCTATAAATATACTAAAAATAATTAAGTAGCAATTAAATGGTACAAAAATATAGAAAAAGTGGGATGCAAAAATGATATAAAATATGTTAATCAAATATCCCCATATCTAAATTTTGATAGCCCTCGAACAAAAGAAAAAAAACTAAAGGAAAGAGAAAATAATAATAATACTAAAACCCAACTCACTTTCGCAGAAATCGCAATTTTATTTAGCATAACGCAACAAGCCTTTAAACTCCTAGATTATCCTAGTGTACAAGTTTAGTCTCATGAGGATTTGTAGTGAATATACTAACAAAATTCAATTACTTTGTCAATTTGAATAAGTCATCATACGGCTAAACCTTTCAACATTATTAAACGAACCGGTCTAAGCTAATATTTACTCAAGGTGTCATTTGGCAACGGGTTAAGTGAGGGTTACTTATGCCAAACACACAGCAGAAATAAAATCTCTACAACGGTCAAAGTGAGTTAACCCTCCATATTCTGCCAAATGTCAAAAATGCAAAAGAGCTAAGTTAACCCCTCTAAAGGATAAAAATGAGTTAACCCATCAAGATAAAAGTTTTACTAATGCTCCTATTTAAAAAGATTAAGAATTAACCTCTCTATTTATAAAGAAAATAATCAAAATCTTCGTCATTCCCAAACACTAAAAATGATCACAAGGGCCAAAATAAAACTTATTTAACATGTTAATAATTTATTCATTTAGGTTATCGAATGGGCTAACTTAACTACATCTCTTATCTCCAGCCACTAAAGATTTCCGTACTGACTCAAAATATGCTTATCGGACTCTATGTATTAATGACCGGTTAATCTTTCTCCTTAATTCCTCTTTTTTGATCCTTTGCCAAACGAGGCCCAAGAGAATAATTTGAATAATCCTTATTTACTTAAGAAATTATGATTTTCTTAAGGGAAAAATGCTTCTAGCCCCCAAAAGCCAAGTGAACGTGCTTCCCACCCCCAAGACTTGGTCAATGGGCGTTTTACCCCTAAAAATAAAGAATCTGTTCTCTGAGCCCCCAAAACACAAAACCCAAGACATTAAAACATGTGAAGACCATAATATCCTTATCTTTCTCTTTCTTTTTTTATTAAAATATGATGAGGGTTATTTTATTATTTTTGTTTTTCTCTCTCTCTTTATCATGATGTACCAAGAGGATAGTTGAAATGATTGATGAGGATTATTTTATTATTTTCGTTTTTTATTATTTTCGTTATTTGTATTGGGAGGTTGTTAAAGTTACGGGTTAATTGTTAAGGTTACGAGTTAATTGTTAATGTTACGGGTTAATTGTTAAGGTTATGAATCCTCTCTCTCTCTTTCTTTTTTTATTAAAATATGATGAGAATTATTTTATTATTTTTATTTTTCTCTCCCTTTATCATGATGTACCAAGAGGATAGTTGAAATGATTGATGAGGATTATTTTATTATTTTCGTTTTTTATTATTTTGGTTGTTTGTATTGGGAGGTTGTTAAAGTTACGGGTTAATTGTTAAGGTTACGAGTTAATTGTTAATGTTACGGGTCAATTGTTAATGTTATAAATCCTCTCTCTCTCTTTCTTTTTTTATTAAAATATAATAAAGATTATTTTATTATTTTTATTTTTCTCTCTCTCTTTATCATGATGTACCAAGAGGATAGTTGAAATGATTGATGAGGATTATTTTATTATTTTCGTTTTTTATTATTTTCGTTGTTTGTATTGGGAGGTTGTTAAAGTTACGGGTTAATTGTTAAGGTTACGGGTTAATTGTTAATGTTACGGGTCAATTGTTAAGGTTATGAATCCTCTCTCTCTCTCTCTTTCTTTTTATTATTTTGGTTGTTTGTATTGGGAGGTTGTTAAAGTTACGGGTTAATTGTTAAGGTTACGAGTTAATTGTTAATGTTACGGGTCAATTGTTAAGGTTATGAATCCTCTCTCTCTCTCTTTCTCTCTCTCTCTATCATGATGTTTTTTTGATGATATTGAAATGATTAAAGAGGATTATTATTTTATTATTTTTGTTTTTTATTTTTTTTGTATTTTTAGAATATTCGTTGTTAAGGATAATGGTTGGTTGTAAAGGTTATGCATTGATTGTTAAGGTTACGGGTTGGTTGTTAAGGTTAAGGGTTTGTTGTTAAGGTTATGGGTTTGTTGTGTAGGTTACGGATTTGTTGTTAAGGTTACGGGTTTAATTGTTAAGGTTACGTGTTTAATTGTTAAGGTTACGGATTTAATTGTTAAGGTTACGTATTTAATTGTTAAGGTTACGGGTTTAATTGTTACGGTTACGGTTTATTAATTATTAAGGTTACGGTTTAATTATTAAGGTTACGGGTTTAATTGTTAAGGTTACGGGTTTAATTATTATGGTTACAGTTTTAATTGTTAAGGTTATAGATCCCTTCTCTCTCTCCCTCGTAACTTTAACAATTAAACCCGTAACCTTAACAATTAAACCGGTAATCTTAACAATTAAACCCATAACCTTAACAATTAAACCGTAACCTTAACAATTAAACTGTAACATTAACAATTAAACCCGTAACCTTAACAATTAAAACCGTAACCATAATAATTAAACCCGTAACATTAACATTCATAACCTTAACAACAAACCCTTAACCTTAACAACCAACCCGTAACCTTAACAATCAATGCATAACCTTTACAACCAATCATTATCCTTAACAACGAATATTCTAAAAATACAAAAAGAATAAAAAACAAAAATAATAAAATAATAATCCTCTTTAATCATTTCAATATTATCAAAGAAACATCATGAGAGAGAGAGAGAGGATTCATAACCTTAACAATTGACCCGTAACATTAATAATTAACTCGTAACCTTAACAATTAACCCGTAACTTTAACAACCTCCCAATACAAACAACCAAAATAATAAAAAACAAAAATAATAAAATAATCCTCATCAATCATTTCAACTATCCTCTTGGTACATCATGATAAAGAGAGAGAGAAAAACAAAAATAATAAAATAACTCTCATCATATTTTAATTAAAAAAGAAAGAGAGAGAGAGGATTCATAACCTTAACAATTGACCCGTAACATTAACAATTAACTCATAACCTTAACAATTAACCCGTAACTTTAACAATATCCCAATACAAACAACGAAAATAATAAAAAACAAAAATAATAAAATAATCCTCATCAATCATTTCAACTATCTTCTTGGTACATCATGATAAAGAGAGAGAGAAAACAAAAATAATAAAATAATCCTCATTATATTTTAATAAAAAAAGAAAGAGAGAGAGAAGGGTATTATGGTCTTCACATGTTTTAATGTCTTAGGTTTTGTGTTTTGGGAGCTCAGAGAACAGATTCTTTATTTTTAGGGGTAAAACGCTCATTGACCAAGTCTTGGGGGTGGGAAGCACGTTCACTTGGGTTTTGGGGGCTGGAAGCATTTTTCCCTTTTCTTAATAATATTTTTTCCTCAATATAGATCCAAGTGGATGTGCAGATACTTTTTTCTAGGCTGTAAATTTGATATTCACAGTATCATCCATCTATATCATTATTACCATTATTAGCAGATAAATAAGTTATATACCAAATCTGATTACATCATACCAAACATAATCATATCCCAACAAAGCCATTCCCGGTCCTAACTAATATCTTATAATCTCCACAGGTCCTAGAACAAAAAGTAAGAAAAAGGCGTACCTCCACAAGGGAAGCATTGATCTCCACAATGAAGAGATGCAACATTAATCACACTTCTACTCGGATTAAAGCACTTGGAAAGAAAAAAGACAGAGACATAGGTGTGGGTTGTCATGAGTTTTAGCGGACAAGTAAGCAAGGAACTTGAGCTCACATGCCCCCTAAAACCTTCTTTACTTAAACTGTCATTTAATTAAGGACTTAAGCTCAAATATACTGCTCTGCCAAAATCAACGCCCAAAAGGTCAAGAAAAAGAATCGAATGAGCAATCTCAAAGTTGTACCAAGCACTGAAGCTCAAATATGACACAAAGGTTATTGGCGCCTATACACGTTCATTGAAGGGGATGGAAATTAGAAGACACAAAAATAGAAAAAATCATAATGCCTTGTTCTGTCCAATTTGCGTTTCTGCAAACTCAACACTCAAAAGTTCAAATCAAATGAGAAATCTCAAAGCTCTCAATGTGAACTTATTCTAAACCCAAATTGAAACAAAAGAACACTACTGAAAAGAGTGAAGCAATACTTAAAAAAGCACCTGAAACTAAATTTAAGCGCAGCAAGAAGTAAAGTTTAACTATTATCTCACCTTCAAGCCCCCAAAAGAATGAAAAGTCAATCACAGAAGAGGAATCTGAACAACTCCAATTGTTAATCAAAGCAGCCACTGCCTCATGCTGAAGATTACTTCCAAACAGCGAAGATCTAAAATCAGCACCAGCAACAGAAACACTCCCTTTGCTCAAATTCTCATCAATCATCAACGGAAAATTGAGATCAACCAAATTTGAACTAATCACCGCCTCCTCTTCTTTCTCTTCCTCTTGAGGATCGCCGCCGTTGTCGCCAGAGAGGGGAGTTTAGGGTTCATGAGGATGGGGATTAGGTGTTCGCCATATCACAAGGATCGCTGTTATCGCATGAGGGGAGATTAGGATTCAGAAATCCCATCGATGGAGGAAGAGAAAGAGATCTAGGATTAGGGTTTTGGTTGAAGTGAAGAGAGAGGATCGAGAGTAGGATGAGTTTACCGATGGAGAGAGGGATCGAGAGTGAGGAGCATGAAAATGACAACGAGATAACCTAAAATGTTAGAATTGGGCCAATTCCTGGCGTTAAATTCTTACTCAATCTAAGCTTACAATTACTCCTCTGTAGCTAAAAAAAAGGATAATCGAAAGAATTACTCTTTACACTGCAGTAAAAAAAAATTAAATAGGATAAATTTTCAAAACAAACTCTTTTGCAAATTTATTCCTCAAAAAAACTCATTTCTCTCTTATTTGTAAAAACCGATCTGATTTTAAACTCAGCGCTGAAACCAGGTCGGTTTTTACAAAAAAAGTTCCAAAACTTCACGGAAGTTGAACTACCGTGAAGTTTAGCAGTGTTTAATTAAGGTGCTAAACTTCACGGGAGTTCAACTCCCGTGAACTCCCGTGAAGTTTCACAGTTCAAAAATTTTGTTTTTGAACTAAGAAACTTCAAGAGAGTTCAACTCTCGTGAAGTTTAGCAGCTTAATTAAAAATTGCTAAACTTCATGGGAGTTCAACTCCCGTGAAGTTTCGGAACTTTTTTTGTAAAAACCAACCTGGTTTCAGCGCTGATGCTGAAACCAGATCGATTTTTACAAATAAAAATTAAAAGGGTTGTTTTTTTGAAAATAAAATTGCAAAAGGGATTGTTTTGAAAATTTGTCCAATTTAAATACGGAGGAATAAATATGACTTCTAATTTTAAGCATACAATAATTAAATTAAATGTATTAAATCTTAGAAGTAGAGAAGTTTAAAATTTAGTGCTTAAAATAAAGAAGGGGTCTATAGTAGATCATTCTTTAAGTATAGAGGAGTAAATATGATTTCTAACTTTAAGTATTCAATAATTAAATTAAATGTATTAACACTTAGAGGGAGACAAGTTCAAAATACAATGCTTAAAAAAATAGGGGGTCGTGTTTTACACGGGGTTCACACTAGTTCTAAGTTAAAAGTAAAACTTGAAAATTACTATTCATGCCATAGTAAACACTATTGTTACATAATGATTCAGAACATTAAAGTTTACGTTTACAGTGTTCTTGCTACAAAATGATTTAGAATAATTTTATTTAAACTTTGTTTACCTTGGATGTTTGTCAAATGGTAACATATATAAACAATAACGATTCTTACAGAGATTTATGCTTACGTGTAGATTTCAGTATTTTCTCCGAGTCTGTTTTAAAATTCTATAATTGAGAGTCCGTGAGGTTTTTTATGTGCAAGTTTTGTAATACTAGTTTTATGCGTGTGGTTAAATATTAAAATAATTTATTTATTTTTATTTTATTACTATAGATAAGTCAGATTCATTTTATTTATTAGATTTGCTATAATTTTTATTTAAACATTATTAAAATTTTGATGTAATAGATTTTTGTGCTAAACTTGGATCAATATACTTAACTGGGATATCACAATTGATTTTCGCAGAAAAGATATCAGTTGATATAATAATATCTTCAAGTAGAATAGTAAAGAAAATAAGTTAAATTGATACTAGATGTCATATTCTAAACTCTACTAATCCCAAGCTATAGTATGGAGTCAAGGTGTAATGACCATGAATTTTCGATACTAGTTTAAATAAATTTTTTTTGTATTTTAAATATTAAAATTTATTTTTCTACGGAGTATTTATGTTCTTCCCGATTTTCTAGAATTTTCTATGATTTAAAAATTCAGTTTATATTTATTTAATGATTTTGATATTATAAATTAAATTGTTAGTGAAAACTTTTAAATTAATATTGGTTATTTAATTATTGTTATTATTATAATTAATATTAATTTTTCCTAATTATTTCTTAATTAATTCTCTTTTTCTCCAAACCCTAACTCTAATCAATATATATATATATATCATATATATATATATATTATATATATAAAATTGCGGAAAAGTGTTCCTAAGGTGGACGCGCTTTAGATCAATCATCTACGGATTGCGGGCCTAAATCACATGATTGAACTACATTATGGATGATCCGCCTTGTAAACTTGATCTACATATGTCTAAAACCGCCAACACACGCAAGTTTGGGGTGAACTCATTGTCTGTTTGACCTCCGTCGAGTCATTGTGAAAATTCTATTCATTCGAAACCGTTAAAATTGACTACGATGTGAATGAAGGGTCAAACGACAGACGAGGTTCACGCCAAACTTCGGTGTGTTGGGTTTAGAATATGTAGATCAAATTCAACGGGGCAGATTATCCATGATGTAGCTCAAACGATGTGGATTTTAGAGCCGTGTCCTTAGATGATTTCTAAGCGTATCACCTTTAAGAACACTTCTCTCTTTCTCTCTCTCTCTCTATTATATATATATATATATATATATATATATATATATATATATATATATATATATATATATATTTATATATATATATATATATATTTCTCTCTCTCATGTTCTCTTTCAGAGCCCCCCCCCCCCCCCCAATATCTCTCTCTTCTTCTCCTACACCGACCACTTACACCACCTCAAGCCGCCAACCAGCCTGACCCTCAAACCAACGACGCGAACCATCACCCCTGAGTTCACTGTGTCTTCCCTCAGATCGCCTGCCCTCGACGCAACCTCATGTTCTCCCTCAGCCAAGAGTTTCGCCGCAACTTCACCACCAAGATTCATCGCTTCCTCCGACTCCCTCAACCACCATCGCAACCAAGACCCGCCGCCACCGTCAGCCTCTCCTCCGAGCTCCGTCCTCTCTTTCTCGTCGGATCCCCTCCTCCGTCAGCGCCTCCAACTTAGGCTCTATTTTATATTATATAATCGCTAATTATTTGGGTTTCAAAAAATCACTGCTACTGTCATGCATATGACCAAGATTTCACAACTTGGTTAGCCAGACTATTTCACGGCGACATGTTGACTCGGTTAACTAGGTACACACTTTAAATCCTTAAAGTATAGGACATCCACAGTTAGCTTACAATTTGGCCATAGCTCATGGACATGACCCTAAGCTTGGGGTGCGACGATATGGGTTTATGATAACCTATCTCAATAGGTCCTTACCATGCTTTGTCTCAATCCAGCCCAGTTTCTATGGCAGCCCGTCGTAATTAGATATTATCGATTCGAAACATATCTTACCCTTAATCGGCCATGTTTAGAGACATCAATCGAATAACCAATCTCTTAAGTGCTAACTTCAAACGAGTCAATCTACACATATGCTGGTTGTATTACTCTTCACTGATGAGGTATTGTCACGTGGTAACACCCAATAAAATTAATGACTTGCAGGCCAAGCATACACTGCATTTTAAGGCCCTGTTTTACAAAGGGTTAAGGAAGAGAGGTTAAAAAGAATGATTAATGTACTTAGCCCATTCGATAATCTGAACGACTAAATTATTAACCCGTTAAATAAGTTTTGTTTTAGTCCTTGTGATCAGTTTTAGTATTTGGGAATAACAATGATTTTGACTATTTTCTTTATAATTAGAAGGGTTAACTCTTAATCCTTCTAAATAGGAGTATTAGCAAACCCCTCATTTTGAGGGGTTAACTCATTTTAATCCCTCTAGAAGGGTTAGCTTTAACCCTTCTATATTTTTTATGTTTGGCAAATTATGGAGGGTTAACTCACTTTAACCATTGTATAGATTTTTTGTGTTTGACGAGTTAAGAATGGGTTAAGTCTCCTTAACCCCTCATTTAACTCTTTGCCAAACGATACCTAAGGGCTAAGGATACACCGCAACAACCTCACCTGTCAGGATAGTGACACGTGCAGAGGGCTGATTTTCACTAGACAATCAGTATAAATACCCCTCTTACCTAGGGATGGCAAAATGAACCCAAAACCAATTGCCCACCCATACCCACCCGCCAAATGAACCATCCAAACCCACCCATTTAGTTAAATGTGCCATAAATGGGTGGGTATAGTTTCTATTAAAGATAAATGGGTCATTAATGGGTGGGTTATTACCCACCCATTTACCCGTTTAGATGGATATTGTTTTAAAAACATATTATTTTAAAAACACCCTCAATGCTTCAACAATTACAAAACTTATTTTTAAAAGTTAAACATTATAGAAAACACTTAAAATGACTAACAACCCCTTAAAATTTTAAGATTTGCAAAAAACACCCTCAAAGTTTAAAATATTATAAAAACGCCCTCAAGAGTTAAAAATTATAAAAAAAACTATCAAAATTTTCTAACCTCACAGATGACACATGAAATTCAAAAATTACCAACAGCCCCCTGAAATTTTATAATTTGCAAAAACACCCTTAAAAGTTATAAAAAATGAGAAAAACACCCTCAAGACTTCAAAATTACTAAACAATCTTAGAGTTTTTTAAACTTGCAAATGACATATGAAATCTAAAAAATTTCAATAGTCACCTAGAAATTTAAAATTTACAATTAACACCCTTAAAGTTTTAAATTTTTAGAAAAACACCCTACATAGTTTAGAATTACAAAACCATCCTGAAATTTCAAAACCTACAAATGACACATGAAAACCAAAAATTACTAGCAACCCCCTGTAAATTTATAATTTACAAAAAACACCCTCAAAGTTTAAAAATTGCAAAAAACACCCTCAAGAATTCAAAACTACAAAACAATCTTAGAATTTTCTAAACTTGCAAATGACACATGAAATCTAAAAAATTTCGGTAGTCCCCTATAAATATCAAATTTGCAAGTAACACCCTCAAACTTTTAAAAATTACAAAAAACACCCTCAATGATATATAAATATAAAAAGTAGGCGCTCATAATTCTTCGTCGGCAGGAGATATATGCGTATGCGGCCAAGTGTAATTTGTCACATGACCAAAGTAAGGGCTTTTTTTAAATAACCGAGCAGGTAGTAAACTAGACTTGTTACGAGTCCATCTCTTCTTTTGCTCAGCCCCGTCATCATTTGCTTCTTTTCCTCACAATTCTGTCCTAATTTTCTGAAGTAGTCGATTCAATTGAGAAAGAAATATTTATAGAAAACCCCCTGAAAGTTTGTAGAAAATCTCCTAAAATTTTGCAGAAAACCCCCTAAAAATTTACAGAAAACAC